TTTTTTTTTTTCCTTCAGTGGATTAACTTGTACGGATACATTGTTCACCTCAAGACTAGCAATGGCCGCTAACAACATTTTGTACATTTTGATTTCATGCAGACTTTAAAGCTCTTTATTTTTTTCCACTCCTCTTTTACTCTCTTTTAAAATATTTAGGCTTTAAATCAATATTATTTCTCTCTGCTCTCTCCTGGCTGCTGCTTCTTTCTTAATTATTTCACCTCTCACTGAGAGTGAAGGACATGTGGAGAATAGCAGTTACTACATTTATTTCACATTTAAAGTCTGTTAACTACCTTAATTTTAAAGGGCTTAAATAAGCACACACCTCGCATCCAGTCTTTGTCTGGTCTCACTTTGAGCAACGGACTGCTTACCTGATCTCAGTGTGTCTATGTTATACTCCAAAGCTCCTATCTCCAGCGTTTCTCCAAGCTCCTGGGTCCTCATGTTGCCCCAGCCTGTCTCTATCGTGTATCGTGTGTATACTCTCACCTGGTCTGTCTCCGACATCAAGCAGAGGTGTGTGCTCATCACAAACTCTGTTCTCACCACCTGCTCTCCATCTGTAATCTCCCATCAAACCTGCAAGACAGTAACCACTCTTATTTCAGTATTCATCCATTTATTTACTTATTGCTGCAATAAACTCTTTAAACCGCTATCTGTCCTCCTGAATTCTTCTGTTATACCTTGCTCTCACTTCCCAGACCTGTTACCATATAATAGAAATATATGTTTTATAACATTTTATATCTGTATTTGTATTTTGCCTGCATTACAAATATTATTATTTATTAAATAAATATATATGCATGTAAAAAAAAAAAAAAACTTCCTCCTCGGGTAACCCTGATTGTAACTACGCATGTGGTATGCAATGCTGGGGTAAAAAAAAAAAATATATATATATATATATACCTGTATATATATATTTTTTCCCTTATATATTATGAATTTTAATTTTTTATTTATATATATATATATATATATATATATATATACCTGTATATATATTTTTTCCCTTATATATTATGAATTTTAAATTTTTTTTTTTTTTTAATTGAAATTGAGATTCAACAAATAATTCTGGATTCCGATATAAGATGAATACCTCAATCAAACGAAACATGCATTTTTGCAATTTCAACTTTAAGCCACATCCTGTCAGTTTCTATTTTTTCGGCCCTACAGTGGCCTAGTTACAGTTAAGACTCCAACCACCTAGAACCACCAAACCATCAATGGAGCTCCATCTATTGTCCCTGCTCTTAAAAGCCTCTTCCTCTTTTTCCTTTTTGATCCCCCTTGATCACCAAGCTGACATTTTTGCCAAGCCAGCTTAAAGTTTGCAAAGAAACCTTCTCTTCTAGCTGCATATTGTATTTTGATGTGTCT